GGCCCTCCAGACCACTTGTGCGGTACAGATTTGCGTATTTGCGTGGTCAACGAGATGGCGGAATGAGGGTGCGTCTGCGTCTCGACAGGAATCACGGATGACGGTGCTAATATGGCGCCAAAGGACGGGGTGCATCTGCGCGAATATGGTGGCGGGTGCAGCGTCTACTAGTAGTTGAATTCCCCGTGTGCGTGTACACGCTCCCCGCTGTCCGGAGCTCACAGGCGCTTGGATCGTTGACCAGCGCGACCCTCGCAATAACCGCGCTGGACCTCATCGTACACCACACCAATACACCACACAAACTCCGTGCGGTGCAGCACGACGTGGGCGACATTCGCAGGTGCCGCCCACGGAGATCCACACCCACGACCGCGACGCTCTAGATACACCGATGCAGTGCACATCGGCAAGCCCCACAGTCGGCCCCGCCTCGTATTCGACCTCAATCCACGCGAGCGTGCGGATGACGCGGTCGAAGTACACGGGCTTGAGAGGAATAGTCTGCAGCGAAGACAGAGGCGTTGCGCAGAAGGGCAACGCCGCTGTGGAGGTTCAAGATCGCCAGCGGGCGGAGGGTCATGCGTTTCGGTATCGCGGTTGGTACCCAAGCAGCACGGGCGATGTGGACTGCGGCGCGGCCCAGATGCGACTTGGAGTCATGCAGGCGGGGCGGGGCTGTAGCGCTCGGTGTGCTCAGGCTGGGTGTTCTGTTCGATAAACGGGAGGGGAGGAGGGGAGGAGGGGAAATGTCGATGATTGCAGGGGAGAGGAAGAGAGACAGACAAGGAGTGAAGGGAGAGATGGGAGGGGCGTATACGTCGATTCCCTTGTGCAGTCTCCGACTCGAATAATCTGATGCATGCGTCAGCATGCAAAAAGGACAGAGTAGAGAAGGGGCAGGAAGAGCCAGCTCACCTCGCCATCGCACCCTGTCTGTGGACACATATCTGACCGGCGTGTAACAGACGGACCCACGGCAGCGCCGTGCACGCAGGGTGTCCAGTCCCTCCCTCCCCGAGGCCCCGTCCACGGTGAGCATTTATTCGAGTTACGATGGTGAAACGGGGTTCGATTCCCCGCCGGTGCATGGGTGGGACTCCTGTCCTTTTTTTTTCGTCGTCTGGGATTATGTGTCTAAACTACAAGCTATAAAAGAAGAGGAATATAGGTACGTACGGGTCAATTGCAACTTGCCTGGAGGGTTCGTGATTTGCAACTGGACAGGCCACACTGCAGAGTTATATCCGTGCTACAGTCGAAAACGGAAGGTATAAGCGCCGGTGGTGTGTGTTCCACACACCAGCAATATGATCGGTTCAATCGTGAAGCGATAACGGTGAGACGGGGTTCGATTCCTCGCCGGTGCATAAAGTGTCTCACACGACTGTTTTTGTTGCTTGTCCCTATGTCTATGCTAAAAGCCATGTCATGCGAAAGAAGGATGTAGCACCGGTCAATTTGCTGATGGGCTCGGAGAGCGATCAACGACTTGCGAGGTAAATTTATTTCACTGATCGCGCCCTTACTCCAAGGGTTAAAAAGATAGAGGTATGAGCACCGGTGGTGTATGGAACACGCGCTAGTAATATATGAGCAGTTGATTTCAATTTGGGGGTTCGATTCCCCGCCCGTGCATGGAGGAGTCAACTAGATGATTTTTGTTTTATTTGTCCGCGCAACCAGGAGAACGAACGGTGTCCGGAATCGAAGCTTGCGGGAGATCGTTCCGTTAGTGGTGTTGGATTTTCATTCCAAGAGCAGAGCGTATAAACGACTGAAAAGCGGGGTATACTTATGGGCATCGGTGGTGTGTGGAACACGCACCAATGAGATAAAGGTCTTCTCCGTTTCCTTATTTATATATTATAATGGTATGGTGGGACGGGGTTCGATTCCCCGCCGGTGCATAGCTTCGGGTTCTATCCTCTTTTTGACTGCTCCCCAAATTGAATACTTGAAGGATGTTACCAACGAGACGGCTCACGATTCAACTTCCCACGGTTGGCTTTGATTGCCCTTCGATCGGGAATCGAGTCCATGCTCGACGGGTTAAGAACGTAAGGGTATGAGCACCGTTGTGGAACACGCACCAGTAATATGGCTGTTAGACCCCTTGAAGTTGCAATGGTGAGAAGGGGTTCGATTCCCCGCCGATGCATGGACCGACGTTTGGAGGATTTTTATTCGTTCTGCCGCTGGCATAGGACAGAATGAGTCCATACTGGAAAAGTGTGAGAGATGTGCAGTGCTCGCCGGTACACCAATATGAGGTGTTCGCATGGATCCGAGTCGTACTTCAATCACGGGCGAATTTAAACGTCGGCTCAGAACCATTCTCGTGCAGCTATTTTCTTCTTCTTCGCATACTTACGATGGTAACTTGATGAGCACGTGTCTAAGAAGATTTTAAAGGGAAGGTATACGTACCGGAGGTGTATGGAACATGCTCCAATAATGTAACGGCAGCGACTATACAGCGGTGAGATGGGGTTCGATTCCCCGCCGGTGCGTGCGAGTAGCCTTTTTGCTCCCTGAATTGTGTGTTTGCCAAAGGGATGGCAGAAGCGTTGAAAAGACATCATGTTAGACGTAGACAAGTAACCGCTAATGGTCAATTGAACGGTAAGAATGGGGCTCGCAATGAATTCGACTCGTTCCCAGGAACCCAATTCCGAGCTCCCGAGAGCATCGGGAAAGCTGGAATTCGCGTCGAGCCACTGGACAATGGCAACGAGGAAGATGCAAAGCAAAGGGAGAGCTCGCTTGGCTGCTTCGTAAAAGGAAACAGGCAGTCTCGTAAACAGAAACAGGAAAACACCAATAAACGCTCAGGCGCCCCCAAACACCCGGCATCCGTCGACGACTCCATGCCGAGGTAACGTCAGCGCGTCCAACACGCCCGCCCGCCCTCCGCCGCCCTACTTCATTGCGCAAAACCACGCGCCGCGATACTCGAGCCCCCGCCCGCGTGCCATCCCCTCCCCGGAACTGGTCATCGACGTGCATCGCCTGATGCCCCGCGCCGCTGCTCCCGCTCCCCTTCTCCGTGCAGCGCCGTCCCTGGTTCGCTCTCACTGACTATTGACCGTTGCCCGTCCCAGGGCGGTGGCGGCGTACGTGCCCCGCACCTCTGCTACCTCGCACCCCCTCGGCTCGGCTCGCACCCACCCACAGCGACGCGTGCAGCTACGCACAGGCGGCGTCGGACAGCGTCGCCAGCACTCGACGACTACTCGCGCACGCCCGCCTCGCCGCCATGCTCGTACATCCCCGCCAGCTCTCCCCTCAGCAGTCTCCGGTCTCCGCGGCTCTCCCAAACCCCGGCGTGCTCCCACTCTTAGGCTCTCGTTCTGCTCGTAGAGCAGTTCGGCAAAGGCGCGGGGACGTAGAGAGAGCGATAGGCGGGAAGGGGGAAGACGAAGGGAGGGTGGATGGGCGGGACGGGGGAGGAAAGGGGAGGAAGGGAGGGGCGGGCCGGAGAAGAAGAGACGGAGGGATAGGCAGGAAGGGAGGGGCGGGGCGGGGCGGAAGAAAGGGAAGGAGGGAATAGGAGGAATACGCGGGAGGAGGCGGCGGAGGGAGCGTGAAAGGAGGGGAGGGGATGTGTGTAGAGGGAGGGAGTGTGCTGTCAATTCCGTTCTGTGCGGCCTCCTCGAAGCACGAGCATGCGTCGGCGGCGTAGGATGCACGCAAAGAAGAAAAAAGAGGGAAGCAGACAGAAGAGGAGGGTGCAAGGAAGATGCAGTAACAGCGCAGCGCCCCCTCTGTGCACTATGCGCCAATCCCGCGCGCGATGTGGCGCGTGACTGTGGGGATGGACGCGCGCGTGGTGGGCGAGGTCGCAGTCGCGTGGGCCCGCGCTCCTGGAGAGCTCTGCCCGTGCGCTCGGCGTTCTCGTCATACCGCTCCCGTCCCTTAGCGGAGGCCAGTGGCATGACGTTGTACCGCACATGCGCCCCCAGCGCAGTCATCGACTCGCGCACGACGTGGCCCTGGAGCGGCGACGTGGCGGCAGCGGATACGGGACGGGCGGGATGAGTAGTCTTAGTATCTGCGTGCGGGCATGCGAGGAGGCGGCGAAGAGACACGTAGAGGGCGTCGAGGGCTTGAGAGAGGATGACGAGGTCCATCTTGTAGAGGCTAAGAAGGGCCCGTTGGCCGTGAAACCGCAGAAGAATGCGGAGCAGGATTCACAGTGCGCCGGACGAGTTGGACGGGAGACATTGACAGTGAGGAAGACGCCGCCCTTTGCGCTAAATACGAGAATAGCTCGAGCACGGAGAAGCAGACTCAGTGCACATCCTACTGAGCCGGACGTCGGTGGACAGCAGCGACGCTATCCAAGGCGCGGCAAGTGTGGTGCCGCATGAGAGGCTGGAGTCTGAGCGACGCGCGGGCGGAAGGCGAAGACGTGGACACGGCCCGAGTGAAGCAGAAGGAGCTTTCATTTAAGTATCGTGCGCATTGCGAAGAGTTTTGGCCATTGGGCTCTTGGACGGTCGAAGCGGGATGTCCCGGAACCGCAGAACCGGAGTCGGAGGTGGCAGGAGGCGAGCACGTGGTGGAAAACAAGGCACAATAACGCGTCGCACAGTTTTCTTGCTTCCTACACCATTGCGTTTGTGCCCATACTTACTCGAAGGCCACTGCTCAAGCAGGTACAAGCACCGGTGGTAGAACACGCACCAAAACGATACATGAATTGCGACCAAGCCTGGACCGTTATATGGTGAAACGGGGTTCGACTCCCCGCCGGTGCGGAGCGCTCCGCTCTGCGTATATCTTTTTTTCCCCTATCTTTCCGATATCCAGCCAGGGAATGCCATGAGCGTTGAATTTGAGAAAGGAAGGGTGTAAACACCAGCCCTGCTTATGGACTCGGAGAGGGTTCATCCATGATCCACGCCCGTACAATTAAATGAGCTGGGAGGTGAATTTATTTCTCCTTCCATCACACCCGCATCCATACTCACATGGTTAAGAAGGGGAGGATACAAGCACCGGTGGTGTATGGAACACGCCCCAGTATAATAAATAGATTGTCAGGTGGATTATTCTGATGTTGAGACGGGGTTCGATTCCCCGCCGGTGTATATCGCTGTTGTGGACGCTTTTTCTTCTTCCAGACTGTGTGTCCAGGTCCAAGCCACAAGCACGAAAAGAGGACTGAGGGATTCAGGGCGGCGCGCTGAACTTCCACGTTGGATTTATTTCTCCTTCGACAGGAATTGGGTCTGTACTCGGATGCTTAAGGAGAGGATATACGCACCAATGTGATACGCAGATTCCCAATAGTTACATGGTGAGGACGGGGTTCGATTCCCCACCGGTGCATAGTGGAACATCACCTTCTCTTTTCTTTTCTTTGCCATGAGCACTCGTGATTGTAATGGTTGAAAGGGACGAAATGAAGCCAGCAGGCAAATAGACCTGTGGATCCTGAAATAAGTTGGACTGCATCCTCGAATCAGCGCAATGTGTTTTTTCCTCCCTGTTGAGAGATTGGAATATGTATGCATCTGAAGCTTTGTCAAGCGAGGATACAAGCGTCGGTGGTGTATGGAACGCGCACCAACATGATCTGAATCTTCCGAGTCATTGCATGGTGAGACGGGGTTCGATTCCCCCCCGGTGCATTCACTTGGCAAAAAGCTCTTTTTTATTGCATCTGGGCGGAATCATGGATCCATGTACAAGCGTAAGTTAGAACGGCGTATACTCAGAAGCCTTGGACAGGAATGGCCAGTCATCTTCCTCAGAGAGTTTGTGTCATCGTGATTTTGCAGCCGGCGCACCGACCTTCCACAATGGAATCTTCCTGCAGTAAAATTATATCTTTGCTACAGCGCTTGAGAACGGGAAGAAAGAAGTATCGTTGGTGTACGGAACACGCACCAGTGATATATGAAGAGACTCATGTCGTCTTGGTGAGACGGGGTTCGATTCCCCGGCGGTGCATGCCAGTGCTAAGTGAGTCAGTCGTCTTTTTGTTACCCTGAATTTTATGTCTACCAAAAAAGGTAGCTAGAAACCTTTAAGACGCAGCATGACAGCAGTTTTGCGACTTCCCACTTGCCAAACAGTAATCAAGTAACGCTAATGGTCAATTGAACGGTAAGCGGATGAAATCAACCCGCCTACCTTCAGAATTGACATAAACCAAACAATTTCTCGAGCCTCCACCCGGATGAAAGGAAATGGTGGAGGAGAAGGAGGAGGAGTTTGAGCCACACAGTGATCGGATCCTAGATCACAAAATTATGTTCGCAAAGAAAGAAACTTAGGAAGTTAGATGGCATAAACCCAGGAGAGAGACTACATACCTAGGAATTTCGAGGTCAAGCAACCAGGGTGGAGAGAACTTTCAGCTTGTGACACATACCATGCCTCCAAAAGGGAGGGTAAGCACCGTTGGTGGATGGCCACACACCAATACGATGACCGCGTCGAGAGTTGCTTTATAATGGTGGGACGGGGTTCGATTCCCCGCCGGTGCATGTGTGACGTTGGCAGCGATTCTTTTTCTCTCTCTCTTGGTAAATTCTTTGCCATACTCAACCAGGCTATTTGTGTTTATACTCGAAAGGTAGAAAGGGACGGCATGAAACCCATTGACCGACAGTGCGGCAACACGCGCCGTTCTCGTGAATCATACTGGTAAGTTTGGGTTCAACTTCGAGCTCAAAGTGCTGTGTCTGTTTTTCTCATAATTGAGGGGGAGGACAGAACGTGCAGTGCTTATGAAGGCTTCAATGAGGTGTATGAGCACCGGTGGTGTATGGAGCACGCACCAGCAACATGGAAAGAGCCCTTCGAAGTGTTACAATGGTGAGACGGGGTTCGATTCCCCGCTGGTGCATGCGCTATGTCGGCCTTATCGTCCTTTTTGGCATCTTGGGATCAGACATCTCTATGTCCACGTTGTAAGTATTATGGTCCATAGCGTTGAACAGGAAGGGTGTACTCATCCACAAGTCATCTTGCTCAGTAGGGTTCAATGATTCGTCCCCGAAGCATGGAGCCACCACACTTGATTCTTTCTGCCGCAGAATTATCTTCTGTACTACAGCACTTAAGAAACGGAAGGAAGCAGCACCGGTTTTGTACGGAACACACACCAGTAATATGCGAAACGAATCCAGGCGTATTGGTGAGACGGGGTTCGATTCCCCGCCGGTGCATATGTGAATCAGTCGTCTTTTTGGTACTGAATTTTATGTCAACCAGAAGCAAACCAGGATCGTTTGAGAAGCAGGTTCACCAACTCCGACTGCACAGACTGAGTACTAAGTAGTAAGCTGGCACGAGCTGCCGCCCCCAAGACGATCCCGGTGCGAAATGAAAGCGTCCATCCTCCTCGACGACACGTCAGAAAGAACCCGCGCAGACTCGGACGTACTCGCAAAGGTTCGTTATGCCCAAGGACGAACTTGCCTATTTTGAATTTCGTCTCGGACGTCAAGATACATGTATCTCAGAGCTGTCCGAATGACACCCATACCAGTCCACGGAGAAGGAGTTCGTTACTGAATTGAATCTAGGCAATGTCCAGCAGAAGATAGACTTCCGAGAGGAGACACTGAGTGCGTGAAGAAGCGAAGATGACTCGGACAGCAGAGGTAGTGCAGCCAGGCAGAGCTTCGACTCGAATCTCAGCCAGACACTGGAAAAGGAAGGGACGATGGGCAGGCAGAGTTGAGATGGTGTGAGGCTCTGCAGACTATCTGCGACGCCGTTAGCGCAGGCGCTGCGTACAAAAATACACGCGCGCGTACATCGCCGCCCTACAACCATCGTCAGCTCGTGCGCCTTCGAGGCAATGCGGCTCCTCCTGCACCACCGCACGTAAGCCCCTCCGACGCAGCTCTTTAAGCATGACCAGGCGTCACTATCCCCGAGCTCGCGCGCTGTCCTCTTCCCGGCCTATGCACCAGCCATTTGCCAATGACCGTTGCACCGTTGCAGCGTCGCACCGTCGCACCGTCGGCGGCAAGGCACAACATACCCCAGACCGTACGTCCCGACCAGTTGCTCCCGCACCTCCGTCTCCGTGCAGCACCGCGCGCCACTGGGCGGCGCACCGCCGACGCATCACCCATCCCTGCAATCGCGCGCCATCCGCCGCGTGGGGCGAGGGAGCGGCACCCGCCCCTCACTGTTCACTCGGGTATGGGGGAGGGAGAAGGCCGAGAGACAAGGGGATCGGTGGGATAGGATGAATGAGAATGGCCGAGGGGAGAGGAACAGGAATGTAAAAGGCAGGAATGCAAAAGGGGGAGGAAGAAGAAGGGGAGGTCGAGGCAGCGATAGGAGGGAGCGCATTAGAGGTCGCCGTCGGTCCCTCCCTCCTCAAGGTTGCCGCCTTCTACCAGACCCGCGCAAGGCGTGGTCGAGGCGGGGCGCGTGGAAGGGGAAACGCGAGGGGCGATGTGGCTGCGGAGCGGTACGGGGCGGACGGGATGGCGAATCCTGTGGCATGTGCGGAGGAGGCGCGGGGGCGCGTCAGCGGCGTGAGCGGCGTGAGCGTCGAGACTTGTATGATGTAGAGGTTAAGACGGCCTCCGAAGGCGGGCCAGCGACGCTGCTGTCCTTGAGTAGGAGTGAAAGCGGGCAATTGCAACACGTCGACGGCGATGGGGACGGGAAAGACACGAATTAACGCAGCTGGCCGCGATGGGATGCGATATCCCGTGCTGACGGCGGCATATGTGCGCCGAGTTTGGCGTTCTGAGCCATGAAAATACGAGGAGCCGACGAGGAGCGTGTCGTCGACGCGATTCGCCCGGTGAGTCACTATCATCCGTGTCGGTGAGCGGCAAGGACAGCGGCGGTGAGCGCTCATTCGTGCGCTTTAAGTCGTGATATGGACGGAGGTCTGCTATATATTGGAGAATCGGTATGGTTTGGAGATGCTCAGATGGTGGTGGAACCGGAGGTGTGTGGGAGAGAGCGAGCACGTGTGCGACAAAGATGGCACAACAACGCGCACGCGGCGCCACCCATTGCTTAACCACCGGGTATTCAAGATACACCACCATGCGACGACCGACACACAGCTATGGCTGGCTCACGTCTTTGGCACGGGAATCCGCCGAGACGTGTTGCGAATTCAAACTTTGAGTTTATATCTCAAGTTCTCCTTCCAGCGCAATCGTGCCCATACTTGAATGCTTGAGAAATGGAGAGTATAAGCAGAAGGGCATGCGCATCGGTGGTGTACGGAACACGCACCAATAAGATAGGGTTGCGTTCCACTGTTTACAACGGTGAGACGGCGTTCGATTCCCCGCCGGTGGATACGATAGTATGCGAGGATACTTTTCCACGTTCCGGATTGTGTGCCCGTGTCTCCAACTACTAAACGGAGTATCAGCCCCAATAAATGCACGGCGGTTGTTGAACTTCGCGTTGAATCTGTTTATCATTCAACCGGAATTGTGTCTCTACTCGAACGGTTATTGAGAAGAAGGGTATAACCACCGGTTGTGTGTGGAGCACGCACCTATAAGATGACAACGTGAACCACTCCTTACAATGGTGAGGCGGGGTTCGACTCCCCACCGGTGCATGAAGGCCTATCATATCATCCTTCTTTTTGTTGTCTTGTCGCTATCAATGCTAAAACACTGCCATGACAGTGGGAAAGGGCAGATAGGCAGCTACGAGCAGCGTTGATGTCGTTGATTTATCAGAGGGTTCGCAATTTACGCCCGCCAGCGGAATCGACTTTACCTCCCAACATAACCCAATCGTGCCCGTAGTCCAATGGTCAGGAATATAAGCGTACAAGCACCGGTGGTGGATGGATCACGCACTAGTAATATTACATATCATTAATGGTTCCTGATGTTAAGATTGGTGTGACGGGGTTCGATTCCCCGCCGGTGCATGGCGGGTACTTTCATCAATCTTTTGTTTCTCTTTGCCATTCCCGACGCAGCCCATTGCGCTCTTACCTGAAGGGTTGAGCGGGACGGGCATCGGTAAATGATACAAGCTGTTCGCGTTGATTATACTTAATGTAAACTGCCATGAGCGAAGTTGAACGTTCTCGTCGCTCGAGTATTGCTGCGTCTTTCTTTCTTTTTGGGACCTACTGTCCTAGAAATCTTTGAAAGGAAGGGTACGCGCACCGGTCGTGCATGGAGCACTGTCACTTTTAGCTGGGCCGGCGTTCGACTCCCCGCCGGTGCATATTTCACCGACTTATAAGTATTCCTTTTGCATAGGCCCACCGAAGAATGGCTTCACGAAATCCCACTTTCTTCTCTACTGGGGTTTTCCATCCTTTTTTTGGTAAATGAGATGCTATTTGCCAAACTTTGTACCCATCACGGTGATCCAACTGATCGAAACCCAACCGTGAGAACATATTTTGGAAATCTCATAGCGCGGGATTCAAATATCGAGCTGATACGGGAAGCGTTCAAGTTGAAAGTACGAGCGCCTGTGGTGTATGGCACACATACCAGAATGTTGTGTACCAATTGGCACGAGTGGGGGTCGATTCCCCGCCGGTGCATGCGGCCAACTTCGTCGATCCTTTTCATTCTGTTTCCTTGCCTCACACCCAACTAGGAGAATCGTCACCGAATTCTAGGCGAGGGTTTGAAAGGAGCGAGATTAGGAGCTGTTCGCGTCGTGGATCATACTGCTAAAATGATCGAAATCGAACCATTCTCACTGTTTTTTTCTTCTCGTGTACTTACCAAGGACAGTGTCCATGCAACTCGACAAGAGGCTCCATACGCACCGGTTGTGCATGAGGCACGCAACAACAGAATACATGTGAGTGTGAGCACTCGGGCAAGTAACGTCGGTGGTTCAATTCCCCCGGGTGCATTGCAAATGGTATCTTCGTGCTCTTTTTTATCCCACTAAATGTGCGTAGCTCCATCTTAAGTAGACAGGAAAACACCAGTCATTCGTCTTGCGGAGAGAGCTTGAATTCACCGTTGAATTCACGTCCGCACAGGCTGCGACTTGATTTTGTTGTCCCTTACTTCATCACGTTCGCATTCAAGGCTCAAGCGACAGTCTAATGGCTGGGAAAGGCAAGCTATAGTATGTGAGCAACGGTGGTGTTTGGAACACGCACCAGTAATATAGAGCCTCTACAATGACTGTCCAGAGTTACAATGGTGAGACGGGGTTCGATTCCCCGCCGGTGCAGATGCGGCCTAGGCCAGAGACATAAATATTTTTCTCTTTCGTCTGGTTTCTGCTCCTCTTTGCTCCCCTTCTCTCCTCTTCTGTTTCCCAGACCCCAACCGGAGAATCGTTTCCGTGAAAGGGACAGTAAACACCAACCTTTCTCGGACTAATCTCGTGAGAAACGAGTTGAACTTCGAGGAAACTTGGATTGCACTCCCGAATCGCTGCGGCTCTCTCATTTTTCCACTTGTGAAAAGAGTAAAACGTGAGTTTGATGGGAAGTGTATGCGCACCGGCTGTGTATGGGACACGCGCCAATAACATAAGAAAAGTTGATAGTACAATGAATGGTGAGACGGGGTTCGATTCCCCGCCGGTGCAATCCTGAACGCTCAATCGTTTGTTGGTTCTCCTGTTGACCCGGCGAACAGTACATACGTATTTCACGTATACGAGGGTTCGGAAGGAAGGGTACCAGCACCGTTAGTGCTGTCGCGTCGATTATTCTCGTGAGAAATGAGTTTAACTTCGACTGCATTCCCGAATTGCTGCCAGCCCCGCTTTTTTGGCGCGTCAAGGGAGCAGAACGGGCACGAGGGTCTGAAGGGAAGGGTATGCGCACCGTGGTGTATGGGACACGCCCCAATAGCATGAAAAAGGTTCCCACTACGATGGTGTCAATAAAGCAGGGTTCGACTCCCCGCCGGTGCATGCTGCAGATGCAGACTATATATATATATATATTTTGCTCACCGTTTACGCTAGAATAATCTGGACATCCTGAAATCCTATGGAGGATATGCGTGCAGGCGCAAATCAGCAGGCTTTAGCGTACCATGAATCCGGCACCAGTGAGTCTGCAGGTGGACACGATAATCTTCGGGTGATTTCCTTCAATTAGCGTTCGGAGTCTGTGCGAATCAACATGGCACAGCCTACTTTGGGAAGTTGAACTTCAACTTACGTGCGCGACTCCATTCTATGTTCCAAAGCCATGGTAGGAAGGTCTGTCTGTATGAATGTGTCGATAGGCCATCTATAAGCATCAATGGTGTATGTAACACGCATCAGTAAGATCGAGTAGAATTCGACACTTGCAACGGTGAGACGGGACTTGATTGTCCGCCGGTGCTGATACCAGTCGGCATGGCCTATCTTTTTCCCCTCTGCCACTCCCAAAGACCTTTCGTGCTGGGTGGCCTCACCGAGTACAGTGGCCGGAACAATACCGAACTTCAACTTCAACTTACGGCACGCTTCGGCAAACCGCGGCAATCACCTAGCATGATCCCCTGATGGCCACAAACATCGGCAACGAGCCATGGTCCGTGCGCACAACTGTCGTATAAAACCTCCTTGTCAGCTTCTCTACAACTCATACTTACCTTGATGGCATAGGCCCCTTCACCTCCCTGGGGCCGTGGGATCACTCCATAGCACGGCGACCCTGTCCACACAGAGTGCGCCTGCGGCTTGTATGTGCTTCGGTGCATGCATCGTCTCAATATTTCCCAGTTCCGCCGCGGCCACTCGGCTGGGTGGACCTCTTTTTAGGGACTTGGGCGCGCCTGACCCTAACCTTAAATGCATCAATATATATCGCTTGGACCGCTGTACGTAAATGAATACATGATTACATATAGTAGATGGCCCATGTGTTCATGCAGGCACGTATGCGTCTTGTTCGTGAGCGCTATCGGCAACTATTGAACCTAATTCAACCTAGCCTCGTTGAGGTCCCTACGGTACGCCCCTGCTTGATCGACGGTGGTCGAAATTCTCCCTGGCAGACCTGTGAGTTTGAACCGTGCGGATCATCTATAAGTTGCAGGGTATGCGGATCCCTCGACCGGCATCCCAGCCAATTAGACTCTGTGGAGAAATGATGAACACGAATTCATGCTAGGCGTGGAACTTACCTTGGTCGACTCGTTCAGATGATTGGACGTCGAGAGCCTCCAACAGAGGAAGATTGAGGGATTTAGCAGCCGCGTTGGTCGCAGGGTCGAATCCGAGCCGCTTTTGTGTGGCCTCGGCTACTTCATAATGATGGTTCTCCCAACGCACTGTTTCGAAGGGTATCACCCACTTCATCCGGATTTTGAGTGCCAAGCGGGGAACAGTCTGAGTCTCGACAACATCGGCATCTGTCGACCAATATATTTGGGGTTCCTCGACACATTCCTCGTTGATTTGGGGGACTTGGACAAAAATGTGTATCCTCTCAGGTAAACCATCCAGGAGAGCAATGGATTCCGCGGTCGTCCCAATATCTTCAGCAGCTAAAACCATTTCCCAGCTCACTTTGAGGCTGACGAACCTCGCTTTTGAGGGGTGAGATAATTTTTGACGATGCCTAACACAGGTACTCACGGATGTAGAACTTGGATAATTCCCCATCCGATGCTGGAATAATCGAACTCGCTTGTGCCAGCCAAGCAGATCTAATGTCGGGCACAGATCTTCCGATTTGTATTGCAGCGTCAAGAAAATAACCGCAGTGCGCTTTCCCGTCGTGTTGCGAAACCCACATCCGGTTCAGCGGAACGACGAACCTATAAAAATCAACACGCGGTGAGCCGTGGATGCGATAGTGTTCACGTACTGAGTAAAACCATCTTTAAGCTGATTATCTGCAACAGCACAGCGTGACATTTTATAACGCCCAACAGCCGCCCAAGCAGCATCGGGGGTGATGTCCCTGCCCGCAAATGCCGCTACTGGCTGGTTGAATCTTGGCCAGTGAAAGGAGTGTCGTGGTCCGTATTTATCGTCACGAAAGACGCAGCCCCGAGACAAGAGCAGTTCGCGACACCCGAATTGTTGGTCTGATAGCAGGTAACCCCTCCCTCGCTCGAGATTAACAAGAGACTCGAGCATTATCCACATATCCCGCTCTGAGGCCGCCAATTGGTGACACTTGTTGAGGCTCACTAACCGCATGTCCATTGCAAACCACGTAATAAAGATATGGTCCTATGCAAGACGAGTGTTTGTCATTGGTGATAAGGGACACAAATACAACAGACGAACGAACCCAGTGATATGTTGTCCGAGCCATTCCCCCTCTTTCAATGTGCGTAAGAATTAGTTTTCCGTTATGTGCATCAACCATGGCGCAGTCCCGATATTGCGTAAGGTTCAGCATGCAATGCCGGCCATCCAGCAGGTCGAACAAGTTAGCAACCTGAGTGGTGAATATGTCAGTGCATGAAGTGGGTTGTGCATTACAAATAACCAGATTCAGTTCCCAGTCTACGATAGCCTGGGCCGATGGAAGGGTCGCTCCATACTCATCCAGAGTCCGGTACTCTGCATGAAAAACGGGTGGATGTTTTGCGGTATGTGTGAAATTAGTCATCATACCTCCATGGAAGACAAGGCATCTTAATCTCGGGGAGCTGCAGAACCCAAACAGTTGAGGGAAATGGGCTGAACTGGTACGATATCAGCACATAGGATGCCATTGACACAACTGTGCTCACGGCGAGTTGTCCGCTAGCAAAAACAAGAAATCCTTCCACGACTGATCGTTTCCGCGAATGAGCCCTCTGAAAACATATCAAGGCGGTCATTTACCTTTGTCGGATCTGAACCTTGATAAACACGGACTGTTCGAACACCGCCATTGACGGTAGCCTTGTAGTCTGTCCAACCGATCTGTTTTTCTTCACGATCGTTAGCATATCTCGCAACACTGCTCCGAGCTGAACCAAAATCCAGGTGAATATCGCC